GGAAGCGGCGCTGGCGCCGGCGCCGGCGGCGCCTGCGGCGGGTGCGGCGCCCGCGCGGCGTGGCCTGTTCCAGCGGCAGTTTCTCGCGCGGCCCGAGCACGCGACAAGCGAGAGGGATGAGCTGCTATCTGAGGCGGCGGACCTGAGCGATCTGTCCGCGCTACGGCACGATCTCTCCGACAGTGCGGTGGCCGCGGAGCTGGCTGGGGCGATGTAGCGCCTAGTGCGCCTGAGCGCGCGCGAGTGTGCGGCGGCGGCGCTTGGCATAGTGTACCGTGACAATGAGGGCCACGATCATGCAGATAACAAAGATGCCCGTGATACCAACGCCGATGTACCCAAAGTAGTCGTTGCACCAGCGCCACCAGAGCCACCAGCGGCCCGCGAGGCCGCCATCGCCCGACTCTGCCTGGCGGTCCGCGGCGTCGGAGCACTGGGCGCAGTGGTCGCCGATGAGGCCCAGGATCTCGATGATCGAGATGGTGAACGCGGCGAGAATCGAGAGGAGAGTCAGCACCATCGAGAACGGCGTCACGGACAGCAGGAGCTCGTGTGCCATATCGGGGCGCGTCGACGTCGCCATGTCCTGCTTCGTGCTCACATGCTCCGGCACCGGCTCCCAGGGCCAGTACCAGCAGGGCAGCGCATCGAGCTCCTCCCATGCATACGCACAGATCATGAGCACCGAGTCGCACGAGTCGACGAGCATCATCCCGGCGGTGAACAGGAACGCAAGGAGCACCACGCTGCCGTTCGACGTGGCGCCGCCCGAGATGGCGCCGCCCGCGATCATCGAGATACCCAGCAGCGAGATGGTGCTGGCGGTGTCGAAGCCCAGGCCGAACAGGATCCCGATCGGGAACATCTTCCACGGGCGGTCGATCACCTTGAGCAGCGGCCACGCCAGGCGCGTGATGAAGCCGCGGAACTCGACATGGTGCGCGCCCTCGGCGGGCGGCGCCTCCAGGTCCGCGGCGCGCTCGCGGCTCGCCCCTGTGCTCCGGGCCTCGGCCGCCTGGACCTCGAGGGCCTTTTCCGCCTCGGCGACCTGGGCCTCGTCCAGCGGGGCGGGCTCCGCCCGGGCCTCGAGGGCCTTGTCCGCCCGGGCCTCGAGGGCCTTGTCCGCCTGGGCCTCGAGGGCCTTGTCCGCCTGGGCCTCGAGGGCCTTGTCCGCCTGGGCCTCGAGGGCCTTGTCCGCCTCGGCGACCTGCGCCTCGTCCCGCGGGGCGGGCTCCAGCTGGTCGTGCATGCGGCGCACCTTGCGCCACTGGCGCACGCTATGCACGAGGATCACCGTGTTAATCACACCGATGAGGAACAGGAACGAGCCGGAGATCGAGGCGCCGATGATGCCGCCCACATCCGAGAACGTATCCATGTTGGAGAACGTCGTGAACGAGATGCCGACGGCGATGAGGATCGACACCACCACGGTCGAGTGCCCCATGCTAAAGAACACGCCGACCGTCGTCGGCCGGCGGAACCCGTAGCCGTCGCGCCGCGGCACGGCCATGATGCGCCGCGTGGCATTGTCGATCGCCGAGATGTGGTCCGCGTCCAGCGCATGGCGCAGGCCCCACGTCCACGCAATCAGCGCGACACTGAGCAGCGAGCCGGCCTTCGCCGGTGCATCGTCATTGTCGTCCAGGATCTTCTGCGCCTCCGCGCGCTGCTCCGCGGTGCCCGAGCGGCGGTTGAGCACGGTAAACACGATCGCCGAAATGACCCACAGCACCGCATTCAGCACAAGCAAGCCGACCAGCAGCAGGATCCCACGCGCCAGAAACGTGAGACGCCTCGGGCGCCGCTGGCCGGCGCGTCTACGCCATGCCATGGTAGAGAGAGCGAACGACAGTTTCCGAGCGTTCCTGCAGAGCGCGCGCGACAGCTTATGTAAGGCCCAAGGACCGCCGCGCCGTCGCTCGCGCCTTCTCCCACGAGCGATGCGGCCCCACGGCATCGCATCGGCGCCGCTGGATGTGCTGCGCACGTCCTCGGACGCAAGCACATATACTGTACCAAGCACCCCGGCAGCGACTCTGCCTGCGGCGGTGCCATCTACCGCGCTCGCGCCTGCGCATGCCGTGCAGGCCGCTGCGTGCGCGGTGCCCCTGCTCGGCGCCTCGGCGCTCGCGCTTGCGCGCGTGCTTGCCTCGCGCACGCAGCTGGAGCTCCGTGTCGTCGGGAGCGACGCAGCGACGTCGACCCTGCTCTTCACCTTTCCCGCGCCGGTCGTCCCGCACGTCGGCCTCTGGGACGACGCGGGCTCCAGCGACCTCCATGTGCTCGCCGTGACCAGCGCCGGCTACGTGTACCGCCTGTGCATTCCCGTCGCGTGCCTCGTGCGCAGCTCGCTGCTCCCGCCCCACTGGGCGCACGAGCACCGCCTCGAGCACCTCGCCGACCAGGGCGCCGCCGCCGCCGCCGCCACCGTCCACATGGTCGATGCAGGCCTCCTGCTCGTGGCCTGCATCGACGGCACCCTGGTGCGTGTGCAGCAGCCGTACGTGCAGGGCCGCGGCTTCGACGGCGCATGGCGCGAGGCGCTCTTGAGCCCCGCGTCGTTCAGCCTGCGCCGCCTGTTCGCGCGCTCGCCGGCCGCGGAGCTCGCCGCGGCGCCGACGCACGCCCTCGCCATCGCAAGCCATGTGCGCGAGTCGGACACGGCGCTCGCATTCACCGTGTGCCGCGACCGCAAGCTGCGCGTGTGGAACGTCGCGACAGACGCGCTCGTGCGCACCGTCGCGCTCCCGACGGGCGCCGGCACCGTGTCCGAGGGCCCCCTGCTCGACGCCGCCGCGGCGCCGCACGTCGCGCTCTTCTACCCCGACGACGGCGTCTACTCGCTGTACGTGCTCGTGTACGTGCCGGGCACGAATGCATGCCTCGCCGCGTACGGCGTCGAGCTCGAGGACAGCAGCAGCTGGTCCGGCGGCGTCGGCGAAGTCGCGCTCGTGTGGACGCGCCTGTGCGACGCACACGCACAGGCGCCCGACACGGAGCTGCGCGACATGCAAGTGGTGCCGGACGCCGCCGCCGGGGCCGCCGCGGGCCGCGTGTGGCTCCTGTGGCACACGGGCGGCGCGCCGCTGCTGCAGACGACGCTCGTGACCGGTCTGCGCGCGGCGCCCAGCGGCGCGGCGCCCCTCGTGCTCAGCAGCGACGAGCCGTGGACGTGCATGGCGCCGTACGCGCCGTACACGCCGCTGCACGGCCCCGAGCTCGAGGCCGCGCTGGCGGAGCATGCCGTGCCGCACGCCGCCCTCTTCCTCCCGCGCCTGTGCGAGCCCGGGCGCTTCAGCCGCACGACGCTGCATGCCGCGCTCGCGCAGGAGGGCATCGACACGCCCGTCCACGAGCGCACGCTGCCTGCGCTCGCGTCGCGCATCGCTGCGCGGCTGGAGCCGAGCAGCGAGGCGTGGCTGCGCTTCACGAGACGCGTCGAGCAGCTGGACCGCGCTGAGCGCTGGCCCCTGCGTCTGTGCCTCGTCGGCGGCGACCCGTGGGTCGTGTCGCGCCACGCGCTCGGCGCGGTGCACGCGACGCCGCCAGGCGTGTGGCTCGCAGCGCTCGCGCAGCGCCTCGCGGCCGCCGCGTCGCACCCCGACCGCCCC